GTATTTTTGACTCTTACACGCGCTGTAGTCGCAAATATCGCTGACGTCACAAATATCGGTTACCTTCGTTGACTTTTCTCAATAGTGTTTTAAACTCGGGGATCACGTGACTAAGCGGGTAAGACGCTGGCTCGCTAGCCTGGAGGTCGGGTGTTCGATCCCTGCATTAGCCGTGAAAGTTCATCCAGATTTTCCGACGTGGTTTCCCCTTGTCAGTGATGCAGGATGGAGGGCCTGACAAGGACAGCTGTCTAGTCGTTCGGATGGGACGAAAACCCGAGGTCCCGTGTACACATTGGCGTGCACGTAAAAGATCCCTTGGCAGTTGGAATTCGATATAAGAGTAGGCCGTAGCGCCGCTGCCCGGGCAAAATTTTCCTCATAGCACACTGTATGGTGTATGTCCGTCTTCATTAGCTCAGGTTAGGAGCAGAACAGTAGGACGTTAAACCCCATTTCATTTCAATTTAAACTCCCTTCTATCTCATCTCTCTATAGCCGTGTGTGGGTGGGGGTGGGGGATGAATGGTTAGCACGTGCGCCCTCTATTAAAAGGCCTGTCATTGAGTCAATTGTCGTGGTTTCGATTCCCCAGTTGTACGTGACAAGGAGTTGGGTCGCCTGTCCAACCTCGTGGGTTTTCTCCCGGTCATCCGGTTTCCTCCCACTGCTAAAGACCCCAACACGCAAGCGAATTATTGAAATAAAATTAAACCATGTGTTAATCCCGAAATGACCTAGACTGTGTCGATTGGACTTTAAATCCCATTTCTCTCTCTCTGTTCTCTATCCATCTCATCTCTTGCAAAATGTGGGCGTACCGGGAATTCTCGTATTTAAGGCCTGGGGCTTAATTTCGAATTTGACCATGTTAGTGGTGAAACATTTCTTCTGAAATTAAGCCTAGGGCTTAAAATCGAAAAGAGGAAAAAACGACAAACATTTGGGTTATTTTTATAATTTTAAATGGAACGAATCAAATTCATTAACAAAAATGGCTTTTAAAACACCGTCACATAAATGTTCTGAAATACTAAAAGAAACTGTTCATAAACTTTATATTTCAAAGTTCTTTTAACAAATCAGATCTTACAATCATCAGTACCACTCTAAAATAAATTTTGTATTTAAGCCCATGGGCTTCAATTCGAAATTTAAACTCGTGGGCTTAATAACGGCAGGGCTTAAATACGAGGATTCCCGGTATCTTGCATGGCAACCGCTTGTTTTAAAATTAAAAATTTAGGTCGGCCTAAGTAGAACAGCCCAGGGCCCGTCTGGCACCACCTTGGCAATTAAGAGATCCAATCACCAATAAGCACCTAAATGACGTCACAAATAAACGCGAAAATCCCATAGAGGCCAGAGCACTAGCAATGGAACTAATAGACTCTAAATGAACTGACCATCTCAAAATTTACACAGATGGATCAAAAGATGCTACACAAAGGGGGCACAGGATATGGCATATACATACCCAAAGCAAAGCTGAATATCAGGAAAAGGCTACCAGAACATTGTTCAGTGTACACCACAGAACTGATGGCCATTAAAACTGGCCGTAATTCTGTCTCATTCCCTGAGTAGTATCAAATCCATAGAATCAAACTCCTCCAAAACTTGGCAAAAGCAGGTATGACATTAGTCTCGGTCACCCAGAACCCGCTAGTCTTCAACGTACGTAGAATGTTTTTATGGATGATAGAGACTAGCAGGGCGTAATCCACGAAGTTAGGGACCTTAACCAAAAGATCAAAACCAATGGGAGGGAGTTAACCCTCGCATGGATCCCTTCCCACGTAAATATTTTAGACAACGAACAACCCGAGAAATTAGCGAATCAGTTGGACAATTTAGGATTTAGCTGTCAGGAATTTGCAAAAGATAAGATCAAAATTGCATGGAAATCCGGTCTAAAACAAGAAAACACCCACCTCTATCAAATTAATAGAAATCTTGTGGACAAGATTAATGTCAACCACCCATCGATCAAAATATGCAAGCTCATCACGAGGCTTAAAACAACAGACGTAGTTAAAGACTATTCCTCTACGCCAATCAAATGCACGTGTGGACCAATTGCTAAGAAGAGATAAAACACTTTGTCTCAACAAACTACTTTTCCCACCCCCGGTTGATAGATATTGGACCTCTCAGCTTATCTGTGACTTCCTTGATCAAATAGGTATGACAAAATGCATATAATGATATGCACAGGCTGCCAGATAAAATGTAAAAATGTCTCCTAGACAGAGAGAGAGAAAGAGAGAGAGAGAGAGATGTAGCTTAACGTCCACTCGACACAAACTAGGTCATTTCGGGACTAACATAGGGTTTAATTTTATTTCAATAATTCGCTTGTGCGTACGTGTCTTTAGCAGTGTGAGGAAATCGGAGGACCCGGAGAAAACCCACGAGGTTGGCCAGGCGACCCTACCCCTTGTCACGTGCAACCCAGGATTTGAAACCACACCAGTTGACTCAATGACAGGCTTTATGATACAGCGCGCACGTGCTAACCATTCGGCCATACAATTCAGCTGTCTCCTAGAGAGAAAAGTTAACCATCTGGCAACTAAACCAATTAATTAAAAAACACACAGCAGGGCGGGGCGCAAAACTGTCCCCAAGAGGGAAAACTTCCGCTCTGCGCAAACTAAAACAACCAAAGCAGGGTGAGGCGCAATCTGGTTAAAACACAGATCCTATTTCGTTTCATTTTTATAGTTCAAAATTTCATTTTACTTGTCTTTACTACAGTAGGACCTGGAAAAGTTGTTATATAACCCGCGTTTTGGTTGAGGCGATGGATTAGCCAATGAAACGGTCTGTTACGGCAAGCTTTTAGCGTGAGGTGCACGGAACTGAAGGTAATCAACTAGAAACACCAATGCTGATTGGTTAAGCAAATGTCTGGCGTCATGGGGCCAAAAGCCGCTTGTATGACCTCTGACGTGATCTCCCAAAAACATCTGGTCAGATCTTCATGTAATGTAAACCATCGGAAGTATTAAAAAAACGAAACGAAATATAGATCTGTATTTTAATCAGATTGGGCGAAGCGCTAAAAAAGACCCCACAGAGGGTAATGCATACCACCCTGCATTTTATTTATTACTGTATATTATATATATTTTTAAATTACGATTGATTGTACATCAGAGAGAGAGAGAGAGAGAGAGAGAGAGAGAGAGGGGTTTTAATATCCACTCGACACAAACTAGTTCAGTTCGGTAGTAACACATGGTTCAATTTTACTTCAATAATTCGTTTTTGCGTAGAGGTCTTTAACGGTGGGGTGAAACAGGAGGATTCGGAGAAAACCCACGAGGTTGGACAGGCGCCAGTTGACTCAATGACAGACCTTATGATACAGTGCGCACGTGCTAACTATTCGGCCAGCCCCACCCCCTGTACATCCATGTAACTATTGTATTTGAATATGAACTCGAAATAAAGATTGTTTTTTAAAACCATATATATATATGTTACAATCAACTATATGATCATACATTCAGAATGCTATTTAATTTCACTTTTCATTCACTAGTCTATTTTTCCCCAAATCTCTCCCCCCCCCCGTGTGAATCCTTGAATCCTTATTAGACGACATTCAATAACAACATAAGTCCAGATACTCTTTTTTTTCCCTCTCATTTCGATCCAGGTGCTGGAATCTTCCTTCAGAAAACCAGTAAAAAAAAGAACAAACAACAGAATTGAAGATGAAATCAACCACCGCCCTGCCATTCAACCGGACGAATCGACCAGGCCGACAGAAATATATATGCACATTCTATGTTTAACCACCAGGAAAGTGTGCCCATAGATCGCATGGACATTTCGGGACCAACACCGAAATCGACCCCCTTTTTACCTTGGTCACTGAGACAGCCACGTACTCCCTGGACCACTGTTGCTCCCCAGTTTCGCATGAAATGATGACGACAAGCATCACGTGACAACTCATGTTTTCCCGATTCTTTAAACATCTATTAACATGGCAAGGCCATAATACAACCTCTAGGACATCGAATAGCTCCGATTTTAAGTAGATTAGAATGCATCGGTCATTTAATGATTTAATGTAAAAATGGAGAAGCAAGCCTAAGTCACAAATAACATATACCGTTGTTACGATGATAAATAATCCATGTCACATTCTGTCAAAACTTGTTCAGAAGAAAGTAATTTGAATGATATTTTTGAATATATATATTTTTTTTGCATTATCTATTTTTGAACAATTATAGCAAGAAAGACCTGGGCCCTTATTCACGAAAACTTAAACTAAGATAAAATCGAAATTTTAAGAAATACTGCAATTCGATTGGCTGACCAGTAAAATCAATTTGCATATATCCAATTTGCATATTGGTCAGCCAATCAAATTGCAGTATTTCTTAAAATTTCGATTGTATCTTAGTTTAAGTTTTCGTGAATAAGGGCCCAGTTCTTTATCTAAATCGTACATAACGCATCTTTAAGATATAATAAGTGAAAGCGAGATGAAGCCTTCTGTTGAAGTTTTAAATTTTTAAGTTTTAAATCCATCTGATTAAAATACAGATCTATATTTCGTTTCGTTTTATTATACCGGTACTTTCGATGGCTGGCCTACACTACATGCACATCTGATTAGTTGTAATGGTAGGGCGTGTCTGGGGTCGTACCCTATGACACCATACATTAATTACTCAATCAACGTTGACGCACGCCAAACAGACGCCGTAACAGACTGTTTTATTGGCTAATCCCTCACTTCAACCAAAACGTCGGTAATATAAAAAAACGAAACGAAATAGGATCTGTGTTTTAATCTGATTGGTTTTAAATCCACATAATTGTGTCATGTGCTATTCTGTTGAAGTTATTGACAACCCAACAATCGTCCCCAGCCGCCCGTTCTTCTGCTTCCCATTTCAACTGCCGGGGGATATAAGTAATATACACTACCAATGGCAGGTCTAAACAACAACATTACATGAATAAACATTTTATTTAGGCGAACAAAAACTTTACAAAATACACACCAAAAAATCTAAAAAATTCAGGCGTAAAATTTTGGGCTGCATTTTCTCTATTTCGGTGACTAATTTTAAAAGTTTATTGTTAAAAATAAATCGTATGTTTTATGAAATAAAACAGTTTTTTTTATTATTTGTTTGTAATCCATTTTGTGTCATCCTATTTTTGTTCTTTATCCGTCCATATCTTTCAATCCTGAAATAAAAAATAAATAAGTATCAAATGAAATGAAATTAAATGGGGTTTAACGTCCTACTGTTCTGCACCGACTGGGCTAATGAAGACGGGCATACGCCATGCAGTGTACTATGAGTTAATTTTGCCCAGGCAGCGGCGCTACGGCCTACTCTTATTATATCGAATTCCAACTGTCAAGGGATCTTTTACGTGCATGCCAATGTATACACAGGACCTTAGTTTTTCATATCATCCGAACGACTAGACATCCGTCCTCCGTCCTGCACCACTGACAAGGGTAAACCATGCCGGAAAATTCTGATGAACAGCTACACTACGGATTACTCTTTTTACGAATTCCAACCATCAAGGAGCCTTTTACGTGTACGCAAAATGTGTATCATTTTTTGATCCCATCCGAACGACAAGACACTGTCCCTTGTGAGGCCACCCGTCCTGCACCACTGACAACCAGTCAAGCGAAACGATGCGAAACAATTGTCTTAAATGAATAGTTGCATTTAAATGTTTCAAATGATCGGCCCACACCTCGAGGCTATAGAGAAAGAGAGAGAGAGAGAGAGAGAGAGAGAGAGAGAGAGAGAGAAGGGTGTTAACGTCCACTCGATACAAACTAGGTCATTTCGGGACTAACACATGCTTCAGTTTTATTTCTATAATTCGCTTGCACGTAGCGGTCTTTATCAGTGGGAGGAAACCGGAAGACCCGGAGAAAACCCACGAGGTTGGACAGGCGACCCTACTCCTTGTCACTCACAACTTGGGTGTTAAGACGTTTCGGTTCCACGACTATTCGGACTTCTGATAAACGACAGTTCGGACTTACTTAATGACAGTTCGGACTCGATAATAAGTCGGATTCTGATAATAAGAAATGTCGAATAAATAAAGCATTATTGGAAATTTGTGTACATTTGGTAATACTACGTTGGGTTTCTTTTATCAAAAATAGTAAACGAGTTTGATTGACCGATCACGGCCGAGATTAGTTCACCGGTGTTTTTCATAGTAAAGTAGCGAGTTGATTGGTTTTCTGATATAAAACAATCCTTTAATTAACAGATTTATTGTGGACGCTTAAATCTCTTTTACACAATCTGATTAAAACACAGATCCTATTCGTTTCGTTTTTTTGTAGTTCAGAATTTCATTTGACTTGTCTTTACTACATTAGGATCTGGAAGAGTTGTTATATTACCGTCGTTCTGCTTGAAGGGAGGGATAATACAATGAAACGGCCTGTTACGGCGACTTCTTGGCGCGTCATGCACGGAACTGTAGGTAACCACTAGAAACGCCAACGCTGAATGATTAATCAATGTCAAAAACCGCTCGTACGACCCCTGACACGACCTTTGAGTATAACTTGTACTTGTAAGATCTTCATGTAGTGTAGGCCATCGAAAGTATAAAAAAAACGAAACGAAATATAGATCTGTGTTATAATCAGATTGTCTTTTACGGGAAACGGAATAATTACATTCAACAAACAGCGGCGATTATCGATGATTGATTGACAACTCGCGTCCCCCCCCCCCCCTCATTAAAGTGAGACAGCATAACGCAAAAAAATGGCTATTTTTGGGACATGTTTATTGCTGTACCTCAACAATGAAGGGGAGGCACGGTGGCTAGGTGGATAAGACGCTGGCTCGCTAGCCTGGAGGTCGGGTGTTCGATCCCTGCATTGGCCGAGAAAGTTCATCTGGATTTTCCGACGTGGTTTCTCCTTGTCAGTGATGCAGAACGGAGGGCCTGACAAGGACAGCTGTCTAGTCACGTGTATACATTGGAATGCACGTAAAAGATTCCTTGGCAGTTGGAATTCGATATAAGAGTAGGCCATAGTGCCGCTTCCCGGGTAAAATCTCCCTCACAGCATGCTGTATGCCCGTCTTCATTAGCCCAGTTCGGAGTTGAACAGTAGGACGTTAAACCCCATTTCATTTCATTTCCAAATAACGTAAGTTTTCTATGCACGTATGATGCTACGGGATTACCAGCTTAAACAATCCGCCTTGATCGTTGACGTTTTTAATATTTTCCGAAAATTAAATTATTGTAGCCCTATATTTATCGATTTGTACTGCCTTCTATTGAGAACTTGTCGTGTATGTAGTTCGAAACGTCGAGATCACCTACCCAATTCGAAACGCCGAAACCTATTATTATTGAGGTCGAAATCTCGCGGGAACGTAATATCATGTGATCGTACATTGCCCGAGTTGAATCAATTTCACCAGGTAAACTGCAGATTTCCCCATGGTCACGTGA